CAGCAGGAGATGCAAATATGGTGGGTGACCCCGTGACACAGTCCCTCACTTGTTCATCCTTCAGGTGATAGGTTTCCCTATCTTCATTTCTCTCTGGGTGGAACCCTGTGTTTCTACCACTCTTAGAGTCCTGGGGGAGCGGGTACTCCCCTTTTTCCAACTGTGTGACATGACAGGCCCAATTGCAACTGGTCCCTACAGGACACTCATAAGCAGATGCCTGTGACAGCGACTGATTAAAGGTGATGGAGAACAGTTCCTTCCAAACAGATATATTAGGCAATTTGGGTTAAAGTGGTAATGAAATGATAGATTTTGGGATTCTAAAGAAAGGAAGGAGAGCAGCAGAATAAGGACATTGGGCTTAGAAAAAGCAGACTAACAAATGCAGAGAACTGGAGGTAAGGTTCTATGGGGAAAAAATCTAAGGGATAAAGGAGTTCAGGAGAGCTGGCAGATTCTCAAAGAGAGAATGTTAAAGACACAACAGCAAACTATCCCAGTGTGACGGAATGATAGAGTGAATAGTAAGAGGCCTTAGGAGGTCTTAAATGACCTGAAAATCGGAATGGAATCCTATAAAAAGTGGAAACATGGATGAATTGCTAAGGAGGAGTACAAAACAATAGCACAAGCATGCAGGGATAACATCAGAAAGGCAAAGGTACAAAAATGGTTACACCTAGTAAGGGACATAAAGGACAATAAGAAGAGGTTTTATAAATATATGAGGAGCAAAATAAAGATGAAAGGAAGTATAGACCCATTATTTAGCAGGGAAGGAGAGCCAATAACAGTTAACAACAAAAGGCTGAGGTATTTAATGCTTACTTTGCTTCAGTCTTCACCAAAATGGTAACCAGGTACTTAACCCAATTAATATTAAAAGAAGGGGGAAGGAACACAACCCAGAGTAGGAAAATATCAGGTTGAAGAATTTTTAGATAAGTGAGATGTATTTAGCTTGGCAGGGCCTGATGAAATTCATCTTAGGGTACTTAAGAAACTAGCTGAAGCAACCTTGGAACAGCTAGTGATTAACTTTGAGAATTCATGGAGGATGGGTGAGTCCCACAGGACTACAGAACGGCAAATGGTATCTATTAATAAAAAAGGGAATAAAGAGGACCCAGGGAGTTACAGGCCAGTCAGCCTAACAGTAATACCCAGAAAGACACTGGGTATTTTTATTCTTGAGAAAAGAAGACTGAGGGGGACCTGATAACACTCTACAAATATCTTAAGGGCTGTTATAAAGAGGATAGTGATCAATTATTCTCCATGTCCACTGAAGGTAGGACAAGAAGTAATGGGATTAATCTTCAGCAAGTGATATATTAGAAAAACTTTTTAACTATAAGGATAGTTCAGTTCTGGAATAGGCTTCCAAGGGAGGCTGTGGAATCCCCATCACTGGGTTTTTTTAAGAACAAGTCAGACAAGTATATTCTCTTTTCCACGGAGCCCCTCTTGGGTGTCCCAGAGACAGCTGCATGCCGGGGAAGTCCATGTTAGTGCAGCTCCAAAGAAACCATAATGCTCAGGAGTTGGGGTGAGATAAGGCCATTGGGGACTAGCTAGAGCTGGTGTAGAGGTAAAAGGCCCTGAGAGCCTTGTGGATTTCTGGGCATTTATCTAGCTTTGGGGTGGCCCGTGTGTCTTTTCTGCAAGGAGTGGTGCAAAATCTGGTTCCACCAGATGGTCTGGGAGGATCCCCAGGAGGAGACTTCAGAGGAGATTTCTAGCCCCTTCCCCATGGATTTTACCTTGAGGGGGTATGAATGGGGCAGATCTTATTAAATGAAGATCTGCATACTTATTTGGGGAAAGAAATAGGTCAATAAATCTCCAGATTGTAATGGTGTTGGGGCACCAACAATACATAAATTCAGAATACTTGTTCATTTTCTGTCTTTTCATATTGTAATAGCTCTTCACTTTCTTTAACTATTGCATTTTCAGTTCCTTCAATTTGTGTGTGTTTATGACTGAGATTCTTGAGTTCACCCCATATGGCATTTGCTGCCTCTTGATATGTTCTGACAAATTCTATGATGACCACCTCCAAACTAAAGGGGAATTCATCCAATACTGATGGAGAATGAATGTTGCCATTTTTCTCATTCCCATGAATTTTTTTGTATTTAAAAAAGAAAAAATCTTTAGGAGAGACCAGTTTAACTTTAATCTCGTCCAGTGAATTAACATGAATAAAACCTCATGGTAGTGAATTCCCATGGAATGTGCTGCCTAAGAAAACAAACACTAAAAGGAATTGAGAGCACAGGATTAAAGAAAACATTCAATTTGTTTCCTGAAACAGTTCATGGGCCGAATTCTGATATAATGGAGAAGTTCCATTAAATCAATAGTCTGGATTCAGGCCCTTCTCGTTGAAAATAGAATCTCTCCCTTCTCCGTTTGTTTCAATGCTGCATCTACTTGAAAGGTTACATTGAAACTAAATTTAAGATCAGGCTCCATAACTCAGAAACACACACCAAATCCCTGTGCCTTCTATGTGATGGTTTATGGTGAAATCCTGAGATTCATTCTTAATGCTTCTTGATGAATATGAAATAAGAATAATCCAATACTCAGTTAAAAATAAATTAGCCAAAGTTATCTGAAGTATTGAGATCTAAACAGATTAGTGAGTTTGAACTTCAACTAAATGATTTTACTTAAAAAAAGTTTGACATTCTCTAAAGTTCATTTCTTACTAGTCACAGTTTAAACAAAAAACAAACAAATGAAATTAAACAATAGATTCCAAAAGAGTATGACTGTAATCAAGCATAATTTCACCTTTTTGAGATAAACTAGAAAAATCAAGAAATAGTACTTATTTTGTTTTTACACATAGATAAATTCAGAGTCGGCATTCAAAAAGTGTAAATGATGGAAATAGCAGGGTATGACCAAAAGCTGTTGTACTATGGCTTCTGCTCAGTAGCCTATAGGAACTGATCTGATTGTCTCCGTTCAGTTTTAGGGTCCATGTCCCCACCACAAAATCAAACAGGACAAATTATGTACCGGTTTCTTCAGGTCAGGTGAGACTGTGAGGGTGATTGCATTGCCATTGCTTCATCTGTGCACGTTTTTTTGGATGAATCCTAATCCAGCAAGAAACTAAGCATTTCCTGCTATGTACTTTGTATTGTCAACTCCCACTGAAGTTAACAGGAATTGTGGGTGCTCAGGATGGGGCCCAAAGAGAGAACTTCAGTCTCCAGGTGCGTCAAGCAGTATGTGTGGAAAGCAATAAATATGCTTTCAAAAGCAGTACTGACATTTACAACATTGTAATGAGAAGCATGAGGACCCCAAAATGTTAACTTAACATACTATTCAGCTTTCTTTTGACTTTTACATTTATTAGTTTTACTTTTGAAATATTTGTTTCTTTTTAATGTATCATAACGACATAGAACTATTCTCCCCACCAGATAAGAGCTGACAGAGGCCCCTGCTTCTGGGCTGTGACGAAGGAGCAGTCTGAACAACTCAGGGAAAGAGCATGGACAAAGGTCTCTTCATTTCACCCTCCCCTCATGACCTCGGGGTCAGTTCCCAGCATAATTTAGAGCAGCTAATCTAATTTGTGCCAGGGGATGGGGAGAAGGTGGAGTAACAGTAAAACTAAGTCAGTAAACTGTAAAATTCATTCCCTTTTGAAACCCATGGAATGAAAGCTATGTAAATTTTTTTGAAATTCCTTCTAAAATTACTGCTGCTATGCACATTGATAAATCCAAAGTATCTGAAGAATGCTGCACACTTGCAACTCTCATTGAAGAAAATGAAGATGAAATCTGGCCCCCACTAACTTCAATAAAGCAAGGATATTACTCTGAGAGTTTCGGGCACTTATCTATTGAGAATCAGACCTCAAAATTGCAGTATATGCTTTATCTTACCATGCAGAATTCCCCATTTGTGATTTTGCTCTCGTTTAGCGGCATTGGTCTGGAGATGAAAAGTACAGAGGTTAATGATTACTTGGAGTAAGCACAGAGCCGCACATGTCAGCAATTTACAGCGGCTAGTCAAAATGCAAAGAACTGCAAAGGTTGTAAACAAATACCCCCTGCCCCCCCCCACACTTTATGGTTGTTATATGATATAATTTGTAATTATGTGAAAATAAATATACAAGAACAATATTAACAGAGCAGGCTGTACTCCAAATGTGGCATTATTGTCTCAACAAACCTGGAAATATGTTTTAAATAATGAGCAATCCCTTGCTTGATAACTAAGCACTGACCTTTTATTTGTATGATGGATGAGTTTATAAATGCAGCGTAGTCAGGAGAGACATGAAACTGACAATCTCTGTGGAATTTGCGGTGGACAGAACTCCAGTAAACAGGATTATAAATATATGAAAGTAACTGAAAAGCTGAGCTCTGCAGAAGCCCACACTACATTACCTGCCATGTCGTTCACCTTTTTAAAGCCTCTAGCATTTTTTCCATACACAGTTAACCCAGGTAATCATAGATTTGGGGGTGGAGGGGTGTCATAGTTAAAATTGTATTTTATTGCATCCATCCTATTTCAATTGCTGTTAAAAGATTACATGCTTTGTCTAGATAAAGTATACAGTGAAACAACCAACCTGTGAAATGTACCACTTTCCAGAAACTTCATTTTCTGTGTGGAAATTACAATTTTGTTAGACAAATTTCCCATATACATTGGGCTATTAAAAACCCAACCAGGCAAGTGCAAGCCTGATTTTCCACTGCCCTGAACATTGTTCAAAAAATGCCTAGCTCTTATCTAGCATGCTTCATTCTTAGATCTCAAAGTGCTGTACAAAGGAGGTCAGTCTCATTGTCTCCATTTTCATTCACAACAATGCGGAGGAAGTGCAAAGTGTTCTACCATTCTGACTTGGTTGTATATTAGAACCACGTTACACAAGTGTAAATGATTACACAGCATGCAGTGGAGAATCTGCCCCAGAAGGTGCTGGTTGCAACGATTGACAGTTGCATAACTCTTTACCCTTGCAATACTGAGACAAAAACCCTTTCCGGGTATGAAATGGAAATTGAATGAACACTTATATAACAGGGGTTGCCATATGTCAACGTTAGTTACAGGTGAGTACCACAGCTCACAGATGCAGGTGGATTTCCGTAACTACAGCCTTCTTTTTTTTCATTACAATGAAAAGGATTTGTTGAAAAAGAAGCAGCAAGCATTTTCTCATTTGTCCTAAGCTACAATTTTAGTACCTGTGGAATGCTTTTGAACTGACATTTTTCTGGTACTCCTGACCAACAGATGGATATGAAATAAATACTACATGTGAAATTAATTCAGTAATTTTATTCTGTTGCTGCTGTAGTCTTATAATTGTAGTATATATGCCACCGGGCTAAAGAATGTAGTTTGAAAATTACTGGGCTCTTTAATACTCTCTGTCATTAGCAACATCTTAGTAAATGCTGATTTGTTATATCAATGTGTTAGTAAATAACAGTGTTAAATGCTTACATAAAGGGAATGGAAAATGAAAAGAAAAGTAAATTCCTCTTCAGAGACTGTTCTTCAGTCTGTTTCTTTTTATATTAAAAAAAACTAGGACCGTTGTGACCCTGGTCACCTTTACAGAAGAAGTATATATAACAAAGCCACAGATGTAGGATAGCAAAAAGAAAAGGAGGACTTGTGGCACCTTAGAGACTAACCAATTTATTTGAGCATGAGCTTTCGTGAGCTACAGCTCACTTCATCAGATGCATACCGTGGAAACTGCAGCAGACTTTATATACACACAGAGAATATGAAACAATACCTCCTCCCACCCCACTGTCCTGCTGGTAATAGCTTATCTAAAGTGATCAACAGGTGGGCCATTTCCAGCACAAATCCACCCTCCACCCCCCCACACAAATTCACTCTCCTGCTGGTGCTAGCCCATCCAAAGTGACAACTCTTTACATAATCAAGTCGGGCTATTTCCTGCATAGATCCAGGTTTTCTCACATCCCCCCCACCCCCATACACACACAAACTCACTCTCCTGCTGGTAATAGCTCATCTAAACTGACCACTCTCCAAGTTTAAATCCAAGTTAAACCAGAACATCTGGGGGGGGGGGGGTAGGAAAAAACAAGAGGAAACAGGCTACCTTGCATAATGACTTAGCCACTCCCAGTCTCTATTTAAGCCTAAATTAATAGTATCCAATTTGCAAATGAATTCCAATTCAGCAGTTTCTCGCTGGAGTCTGGATTTGAAGTTTTTTTGTTTTAAGATAGCGACCTTCATGTCTGTGATTGTGTGACCAGAGAGATTGAAGTGTTCTCCGACTGGTTTATGAATGTTATAATTCTTGACATCTGATTTGTGTCCATTTATTCTTTTACGTAGAGACTGTCCAGTTTGACCAATGTACATGGCAGAGGGGCATTGCTGGCACATGATGGCCTCTGAAAGATGTAGGATAGGTACAGAGGCAGTGAAATTCATTCTGAGATCCTAATCCAGATCCAAAAACAGGGATGGGTATGTACTATAGTTACCAATTTGGTAAAACTGATTGTCTTAAATAATGACATAAACCAGAAAGCTGTGAGGCTTAATACTCCTCTAATCTCAAAAGAGGATGAGTGTTCTTGATCGGGAATGAATATGTTTGGTTGATCACTAGACTATATCTAGATACCTATAGTTATAGCCGCAGTATCTGAACTTACTTTTCAACTCCATTGGTTCCTAACCTTTCATGAGCTCTTAATTCCTCACATAGAAGGAAATAGTCACACTGTAGAATCCTGTGGACCATGAAGGGTAATTGGATAACATTTTTTGAAAGATTTACAAGCCTGCCAAGGATTTTGCCAGCTTTAGAACTGACTAATTCAGTGTGAAAAGATCTGGATGATTCTGACTCAAAAGTTGAAAGAGAGACTTTTCCTGTGAAAATATAATTTAGGGCTTGCAATAAAAATGTATCAAAAAACAGCACAAGGAAGAAAACAGCCATAGATAGTATAACTTAATATTACAGGAAAGCACCATTTGCTCTGAAATATCCTTTTCCCCCCCTTGCAGTGCACCTGTTTTTTACCAAATATTTTTTAATTGTGTCCCTTTATGGTTGTAGTGATAGTTCATCAGTAATAAAAATAAGAAAACAATATGTAAAAAGTAGCTGAGAACTCATGACAAAACACACACTCTCTCCCCTTGTATATAAGCAGATACAAAGCATAAGCCATTCAGTAGCCAAGGACTAGACTGCAGTTCTCCCTGATGCCTAAAGGAAGGCCAATATAGGATTTTCCCAAAGCCTTTTGATTTATGAAAATAGATTAAACAAGAGCATTTTCAAATCACTGGAGCTTTTCTGGGAGAGAAAAAAATACAAGTTAATAAGGATATAATTAACTGTGGCGATGTGGGTTGGCTTGCATGTTATGCTAAATCTCACACTGAATTAATAGCTAAACTTCTGCTAACTAATTACTCCAGAATATTTGTTGTTAATTATCCTTTCAAAAGTATATTTTTGTAGGTGTATTGGTTGTTTAGACTCCTTCTCTAAGACATGTGAAGAGAAATGTTTGCTGAACTGTATGGGGCAACTGGAACTGTATCCTGTACCATAATGCTAAATTTGCCTCTGGAATTTGCTGGAGATGTGTGTGTATTTAATTATAGGGGTTTACTAAAACAATCCCCTAATGCTTTTCTTGATGTTCAGATAGCATAACGACCCTCATTACATAAACATGTGATGTGCTAAATTCAGGATCCCCATTTGACTGCTTCTTATATAGTATAGTTATCCCAGGTAAAAGTGAGTGCAGAGTGACCATGGCTGATTTGACAGCATTTTGCACAGCTTTACACTGCTTTAATTACATTACAATGCACAAGGCAATCGAGAATCAGGCCCAAGGTTTAGAGTTTCAGTCTGGATAGTCCTCTAAAAGCCTAGTGCTTTTGTTTTGCGGCATTTTTCTATGACTGTCAAATATTCTTTGTGTACTACTCCCTTCTTCTCTGATACCAAGATTTTCAGCAAAAACAAGGAGTCCTTGTGGCACCTTAGAGACTAACAAATTTATTTGGGCATAAGCTTTCGTGGGCAAAAACCCACTTCATCAGAGGCACGGAGTGGAAATACAGTAGAGAGGTATAAGTACCCAGCATATGAAAAGTTGGGAGTTGCCTTACCAAGTGGGGGGTCAGTGCTAACGAGCCAATTCAATTAAGGTGGAAGTGGGCTATTCTCAACAATTGACAAGAAGGGAGGAAAAATAACTTCTGTAGTGCTAATGAGTTCAGTGTAATCAAGGTGGTCCATTTCAAACAGTTGAGAAGAAGGTATGAGCAGGAGGAAAATTAGTTTTTGTAGTGACTCATCCACTCCCGGTCTTTATTCAGGCCTAATTTGATGGTGTCCAGTTTGCAAATTAATTCCAGTTCTGCAGTGCCTCATTGGAGTCTGTTTTTTAAGTTTTTTTGTTGAAGAATTGCCACTTTTAAGTCTGGTATTGAGTGTCCAGGGAGATTGAAGTGTTCTCCTACTGGTTTTTGAATATTATAATTCTTGATGTCAGATTTGTGTCCATTTATTCTTTTGTATAGAGACTGTCTGGTTTGTCCAGTGTACATGGCCCTCCTCTGTGACATGTATCTGTGTTGTAGAAGTGAGGTTTTTGGAAGCACTTGACCAAAGGGTTGGCGTGAACAGCATCTTTGTGCGGCTTCACAATTACTGCATTGCAAATTAAGAGTTACCATGAGGCTTCTCTTTAAATTGTACATAAGTGAATTAAATGCCTCTGAGATATCCAAGAACATTCTAGAGCTTGAATACCACAGTGATAGTGATCCAAGACAGACACAAGTTCTCACTATGAGAAATGCTAATATTGGGGCGGGGAGGGGAAGGATGATTAGAATGCAATTTGGAGGTTCAGTTTATCGGAGAATCTCCAGGCAGTACCACATATAAAAAGAGCAGCAGACAGCTGACTAGATCTTAATAGAAAGGGAGGCCCTAAGACCTGGCACTGGGAGAGAGCGAGTTATCCTGCCAGGGGATAACAGGTTTAGTTAATCTCTAAATTTAAATTGTGAAATCACAGACGAAGAAAGTTTTGGACCAGCTCTTGCTTTGTTCAGATTGGTTTAACTTTTCCTAACCTTACTTCTACTAAAGTCAAGAAATGTGGGCCTGATTCTGATCATATTTACACTGGTGAAAATCAGGAGTAATTCTTCTAAAGTCAATGGAGTTATACTGGTGTGAAACCAGTGAGAAATCAGAATAAAGCCCACACAGTAAAAATTATCAGTTTAACTTTAACACAGCCTTTTCTTCTACTAGGTATTGTATATTGTCCTCATATATTGTACATTGTCCTCATATATGCCCATGTATCTCAGTTGAACTCCAGGAGGCCACACAGGAATAAATGAGATTGGAATTTGGCCATATCCCTGCAACTTTTACATAAAATGTCACATAAGTCTGAGAAACACAGTTGTGGAAATCATTAGGACATTCTGACATGTTATAATGACCATATGTTGTGCTGATTGTTACTTCCAGAATGTTCTGAAGTCCAATTAAATTGCATCTAGCATCAAAAGATTATAAATCATTATTCACAGATCACTGGGACATCTCCAAACCATACATTTTTGAGGAATTATTGCAATTTTATCATAATGAGTAACTTTAGAGAGTCCTTAATCTGTAAATAACTGCAGAGATAACAGGCAAGCATACTGTTGGGGACACTTAATGCACTGGAAAGGAGTACTTGTGGCACCTTAGAGACTAACCAATTTATTTGAGCATGAGCTTTCGTGAGCCACAGCTCACTTCATCCATGTCTGTCTGTATCTGTACAAGTTTTTTCATGCAGTTGATAGATTTCCACTCCATACGGCTAAATGCAGTGCCTTGCATAATGACAGGTTTCAGAGGAACAGCCGTGTTAGTCTGTATTCGCAAAAAGAAAAGGAGTACTTGTGGCACCTTAGAGACTAACCAATTTATTTGAGCATGAGCTTTCGTGAGCCACAGCTCACTTCACTTCACAGCTGTGGCTCACGAAAGTTCATGCTCAAATAA